TCTCGTTCGTGCACGAGACGACTCACTCCGCCTCTCCGATCCCCAAAGGGATATGGGTGTGTAGTTGAAATCCGGGTGACCCCCTGGCCCTGGCTGGGTAGACTGGTCTATTTCCCTTCTTTTTTGGGATTCAAACCGGGAGGTCTCCTGATTCTTATACACTTCCATATGCATCTTCCTTGGGCACGGCAGTTTACTAACAGCTTCAAGCCTGGGTGGACCGGAAGAAAGAGCTCATAAGGACGGGCCCAAGCTGTGTTGATCACCCAGCTGCTAAGCTGGGCATGGAACCACCACCACCCAATAAGACACCCCAATAGACACCCCCCGCAAAGCCAAAACTGAACCTGAGAATTCCACCGGTACAACCCAGTGGTTTTGCAGGGTTCTCTGTTGATCTACAGGGGGGCAAATCAAAATACCCCCAGCCCAGCCCGCGACACCTGAATCCATCTCTGCAGATCGGTCGGTCCGGGATCCCCAGCTTCTCAGGGACCCTCGCGATGGCCAGCTGCACCGTCATGGTCCTTAGGTTCGAGGGCAAACCCGGACGAACCGCTGAAGGGGCCCCTGAGGTGGGAACGCCGGAGGATTTGGAGACGAAAAGCCAGTGGGGAGGGGATGATGAATCAAGACACCCCAGTTAGTCAGTGGTGAATTTGTGATCGAAACTTGAAACATTTCAGTAAATAATAATCATTACTGTCTAGTAGTGGAGGAAAAAAGAAAAACATCTGGTACGGGGGAGTTGAAATATCATCAATGGTTTGCATTAGAACACTCTTGGGTCACACTTGTAGGACAAATCTTATAGCACGACACTGCTTGAGACTCTTCTAGGGCACGCCGTGGTGACCAAAAAGGCCGCAGAAACAGGTGGGATCGAAGCTGGCATGGTGGTGATGGTGCTCGGCCCCGGAAAGGGCTGGGAACACCCCTTGAAGGTTCGGCCGTTTGGTGATCTGGTCACTCAGAAGGTCACCCTGCTCATTGGGGCTCATGGGCATCTACATCACTCATCCACTTTGAAGGGGCCAAAGATTAGGAGATCTCTTTCGGCTTCAACTTGCTAATCGGGCACCTCCTGAAAAAGGAACATGGGAAAGAGCTGTTGTAGAGACGTCCAGCTGCACGAAATTGCGATGAAGATCAAATTTCTTGTGTAGAGACTTGTCTACCTATCAGGAGACCAAAGTCGGATGCAAACCATCTAACCTGCCAACCCTAGAAGATGGGAAAACCCGGAGGAAAAACGAACCGTTTTTCAGTGTTTTGATGGTTCCAGCTAGTGCCAGTGCCCTTCTTCCAGCCGCAGTGGGTAATATTGAAATGTATCCGACCAAGTAAGTAGACTCGACCACATGCAAAATGGATTTCGATGGTGGCTTTGATTCGATGTCAACACACCCACCTCGGAACCCCTGTTCAGACCCGTCAAAGAGTCCATGTCACGTCCATGCCATGATCAAACACTGAGCCCTATAGAAGAAACCCAATGCCAGTTCACTGCCCCGGTCTCCACCCTGCACCCCCCCCCCGTCTCCACCAAGATCTCCCCACGGTTCCCCTCTCGCCGGTTGCTCGACCGTCCAGCCGGTCGACCGGTCCCTCCCTCCGAGGCGCTCCGTGTTCTCGGTGAAGAGCGGGTTCTCGTTGCCCGAGCGCTTCTCGAGCACCTCCGCGCCACGCGACCCGGGACCCGGACCCGGGACGTCTGCGAAAACAGGGCGCAAGCCGGTCGCGATCGGAGCCCGCGACGGTCGCGTGGGACACGGAAAGGGCGAAAAGCGCGCCCTGAAGGGCGCGAAAGGCCGGGAAAGGCCAGCCGTGTGACAGCTGATACTTCACACCACTTCGCAGAAGGTGTTTGTTCATACATCTCCATATGCCCGATGGAGTGCTATTGCTCAACAGTCATCAACTAGTCAACCATCTTTCTGGTGGTTGATCGTCACCATCTACGAAAGCCGGTCTGAAGGAAACAGTTTGGAAACCGAAGCTTTCACCCCACAAAGCATAGGCTTCCTCTCTCATTTTCCCTTCAACCTCTTCTGGGACTTGTTTGGATTCCAAACGAATCCACTCAGAGTTGGATCAATGATTGAGAACTTGGATCCCTTCCAAGCCGTCAAATCAGCACGTGGGTAAAATGTGCAGCAGGCCCGTGGGCTGATGCTTCGCTTCGCTCAGCTCTTCGACCCAACGACGCGTCGCACGCGTTCGACGGCACCTGCTTCACGGCGCGCACCGCCTTCGCCAGCGCCGCCTCCGGCTTGCGGCCACCGCTTCGGCTCCCGGCCGCGGTGCGGTTCCGGGGCTCTCCGGGGAGGCCAGAGAAGGCGTTGAAACGTGGAGGTTTGATGGCCGATCATGGATGTTTGCAGATTCTTGGTAGCTTTCTTGAACCACTTGGCAGAGGCCAACAAGGGAGCCACGGGGGAGGCGAGCGGTCTTCTCTTTGGCAAAAAGAATCTGGTTGAGCCAAGTAGATAGTTCATGATAGCACATTTTGCCCAAGCACTCCCCTTCTGTCCAAATGATCACTCCGTATCACTCCTAGTGTCAGTGTGTGCGTTTCTCTCTGTGTTTGGGCCTTGCCAATCACTGGCAGCACAGCTCGGCGGATCCTCCGAGCCCCCGGCCCAGTCCGCACCGTCTGTCGCCTCCACCCCCAGCGATTTGGGAGCACAGTCCGAGCACCGTCCAGGCCTTCTTGACCTTCACATCATCATTCACACCGCCTCAAGGCTGAAAGAGGTCACCAGCAGAGCACTGGCAGTCAGCACCATGGCACAGCAGGGGGTCAGGTAGTTTCCGGCACTGGGTTGACCCATGCCCTTTGACGAAGCAAACAGTGCCGAAGGTTGCCCCCGGCTCGGGCAGAGTTTCCCGGACCTCTTCGCCTCTCGATGGCTCCAAAAAAAGGCCCCCAAAAGCACAGGTGCTGGCAATCTCCAGCAAAGGGCTACTAGGTTCCGGGTAGAATTTGCCCAAGACCGGCTCATTTCCAATCGAATCTCCTTAACCAATAGCTCCACTCGTCCAACTGTACTACTGAAAGTTACCGCTCAAGATGATGGGAAATTCACCACTGGAGAACATCACGTATCTACAGTGTCTGGAATCATACATTGATCCGAATGAACTAGCTGAGCCCATCACTGGAAATTGAACCAGCCCAGCAGTTCTGAACGAAGACCAGCACCCCTTCCACCCCTCTCGCCACACCAAACCAGGGCACTCTCGCTGGTGGGAGCCTCCTCGCGGGATCCGGGTCCGGACGTGGACCGAGAGACCGATCTCTTCGAAGGGCGGAAGAATCGACCCATCCAGTTCACCCGCGAAAATCGAAGGACCAAATCACGCTCCCTGACGGAGCCAATCCGTTTCTCGAGTCCAAGGCCCGAACAAGCGAAGTCGGTGCCACAGCCGATCCGACCGGGTGGGAACCAGATGCGAACCCGGAGTGGTGGGCCTTTTTGCTGCGCTTTTTAGAAGCCAAACGCCCTAGCCGTGGAGATAATGATGAAAGAAGGCTATGAGTGGTGACTTGGTTATGATCCGGTGGGTTAGTCTCTCCCAAATCAAACTCATTTCCAGCAAACAACTTCGGGAACTCACACAAAAGCATGCATGCATTGCGTGCGATACATGTCAACTCCCACGAACGCAGCAGCACCGGGAGCTCCACTCCGCTCCTTACTCGCCATGGCTCCGCCACCCGCTGTGCCACCCGCCGCCCTGGTCCCACTGATGTCACACCGGCGCGGTGCCAGCGATGAAAACTCGGACGACGATGGACAGCGACGGTGGAGGAATGGATTCCAATCCATCGGCATGGGCGGTCCTGAGGTCCTCAAAGCCTTGGGATCGATCCGTGGAAAAGAAAAAAAAAAAGAAAGGGTCTCAAGATTGAAGTCATTGGCATCCGACAGGGCACACAGTCATGCATCCAACACGAGGTATCACTTCAACCCCTACTGGACCAAACTGCCCAAAGAAGAAAGATCCCAAGCTCTGCCGCATCGCCGTGAGTGTAGACAGATCGCCAAGCACCCCTTCAGCGAGCTTGACATGCTCGAAGTAGAAACCCAATCACCCGGGACTGAACGGTGTTCTGTTTCGAGTCCCGAGCATGTGCAAGTCTAGATTGATTGGCCGAAAAGAAACACCCAAAAAAAGAAGAGGCCACTTCGTTGCAGCTTCCCAACCCGAAATGGGTCCCTCCAGCTGCACCGAATTCGCCCCTTTTTCCTCCCGAATGCCTTGGGCACGTTCGGCTTGGCCGAACCCCGCTTCCTTCGGGCGCCGAGGTCGCCGGGAGGTCGCCCAACCGTCCGCCAGGCGGGCGGCGCGTTCGGTGGCCAGCGACCTCCGACCGGAACGGCCGTGGCTCATTCATCTGACTAGATCTGATCTTCTAAGATGTGTGAGTATGTTTGATGGGGTCGTCGGGGTCGAGGTGGCACCGGTTTTCCCAGGACCACGACCCCGGTGTTTGGTCTCGAGTCTGATCGTCGGTCCAGCCCTGGCAGGAAGACCCAGAGGTCCGGAGATTCAGAGGGGCGGGAATATCCAAAAACGGCCGGACATCATTTCGAATCAACTCAGACGGCGCCGTCCTGATTTGGCTTCTACTGAGAGTTCTAGCGATATACGACCTCAAAGCCACCCACACTCATGTATCCTTCTGCTCCTTTTACCATGGAAAATGGCACCAAAGGGGTCTTGTGAAGGTCCGTTTTTTCATGTCTCACCTTCATGAGCAAAAGGGAATGTAGACTGTTGACTGTTGATGAATAAAAAAAAGTAAAAAAACTGTTTGCATTGTAACATCTCTTCATCCACAGGCTTGAAATATCATCAACAGTCTACATGGGTATGTATTTCAATAGGGAGACCACCTGGCCCTGGATCAACTGATCTATTTTCCCTACCCACCAGGGGAGGTCTCTTTTGGAGCTACACACCAGAGGGAGCCTCTCGGCACTCCGCTCGATTCACCGGCCGCATTCGAAGCCGGCACGTCGGCAGCCGCTCGCTTTCAAGCAGGCCGTCAGGAAGCCCCGGCGGGTGAAGCTGTCCTTCGTGGCGCCGTGAGGGGCGGAGAAAGAACCAGAGATGGAGGCAAGTGATCCAGTCCTACCTGATGAATACGATCACTGGGTATTTGGGTTAGGTGTGTATTGACAAGCACCCAGAACTTGGACAAGTGACTTTCCCTGCATGGACTCCAAGGCGAAAGTAAGTCCGATCAATACACATGTTGTGGGGGGCACAGAAATAAGTTGAAATCCTTTGGGAGAAAGATGCGGAGAAATCATGTCACTTGAGGATCTTCATGGTGATGCTCTGCGAGGCTTTGACCCCCACCAGATGGAGGAACTGCTCAGCATGGTTCAACCTGTCGTGTGCCGCATAGGTGCGCAAGATTGTTCAGATTCTGTTTTGTGGCCAAGCAACATGAGACATGAAACCTTTCTTCATCTTTTGAGCCATGCCCAAAAACCTTTGGTGAAACAACGACCGAAGAGGCCAAAAGGGGAAAAGGTACGATTTTTGCTCTGCTTCTGCTGTGCAGCTACGGTACCGGCAAATGACAGTCATATAATATCATTCCTGGGCTGCCCAGCCGGGTGTTCCGGGTCAATAATCGCCATCAACCGCCGTGCCACCTCACAAGGACGCATTGGAAAATGGGAAATCAGATGACATGTTTGTTCTGGGCCGATGTTTCCCAGCGTGAAGCCTCCAACCACCTTTTTGTATAGAGAAACTTGTCCAACTGTGCATGCCATCGTTTCGCCTGGCCTCTTGGGAAAGAAGACCTTCTCTGAGCAAGTCACGCTCACGCACATGGTCGTCCTGCTCTCACGCGTTGAACTCCAGCTGTATCACACAACAGTCTGCCACTGATAGAAAGTTCAAAAAACAAAGCCCCTTAGCTACCGTCACTTCTCATGCGCATCACGTCCCTTCACATCCCCCCTCCTCGTCGGCATCCAAGCGTGTGAAGAGTTCATTCCTGATCCAGCAGACGGTGGCACAGCTTGAGGGTCAAGGATGCGACAACCAAGTTGCTAAAAAATGACCTTCTCTACTGTCACCTCGACCAATACGAGAGCTGGCAGAACAATCTGTCAAAAAAGACTTTGTGGAGGGCAGCCACCCATCCGAAGTGCGGACCGTGCGTTTTCAAGTCTCCGTGTGTTAGGGTGCTCGAAGCAAAAGGTGATTGAAGCCTGGGGCTGGTCCGGGCTCTCCACCTGGCCAAGGCACCAATAGCTCCACGTGGCATCTGGAAGCTCCGGCAACAGCGAGAAGGGCATTGGCCTCGGCACTTCTGCTGCAAAAGCCACACTCAACACACACTCCGGAGTCCACCACACCTCCACAAAACCTCACAACCTGCTTCCCTGCGTGGAGGCTTACTGGCTAGCCGTGCACAAGTGCTAGGATAGCTTTATCCACTACCCTACTGCACACTGACCACACTCTCACTCATGCGTCCATCCAAGCCGGAAAGGCAGCACACCACAAGCTCACGCGACTTGCATCTTGTGAAAATCACAACCGGAGAGTCAGCATGCCATCTATCAACATAGAGTACGTCCAGTCTCTTCCTCCGTCGTCCTGTTTCCACATCCAGACAACGGCAACACATGCAATTGAAATCGACCCAGCACCGAATCCCAAGCACCTAAACCGCACCTGAGCACTTGGGCACCCAAAAGCCGCTGGTCATAGCAACAAGGCCACTGTGGTTGATCCCCATGGCTTTCGGGCATTTTGTATTGACCCATCCTCTGGACTTACGCTTGAAGTCTGACAAAAGAAACTTTTACGACCCCCTGCAACAAGCTTTCTTGCAGGAATTCTTGGTCTAAATGTTGTGTTCATCGTTCATCTGCCTGTAATTGTAAAGATGTGGGATCTGCCACTCTGTGGAGCATGAGGAGCGGATCCAAAGTCCAAAGTGACAGGAAGTCAGTTCCCCAACCCCCCAACGGTCTGGAGGATCGAAAATCAGCCATGAAAGCGGAAAGTTGGCCCCTGGAAGACCATTCCTTTATAAACAGCCGGTCGTCCACTTCCATGTTAGTCAGTCGGAGGGTGAGAGATTAGTCTAAAGTTTTATATACAGTTTTACAGAGTGCCCAGTAGTGTGAAAGTCCTTTACAGCCAATGTCAGGTACCTCTTAAACAAGTAACGCCCCTACCACAGCCAAACTGTTGGATAGTATGATTGGCATCGGTTCCTGACAGGGGTCCCGCCAATGGCATGAGACTTGCCTAGTGCAAAGGAATGTAAGGTAGACAGTCTACCAATCTACCGTGGCTCCCCAGGGACTGAAGAGGGTTTGTTCACTCCATGTCTGGGGGGTTATTCTTCATCAAGAGTCTACATGTGATGCACACTGACCACCTCACTGCTCACTCGTCTTCACCCCGAGGAGCTCAAACCAAAAACGGCACGGTGCGGCCGCGGATCGCCCCAAGCCAACTCGTCGGGCGGTCGCCACAGCGAACACGTTGGAAGCAGGTTCATGTACCAGGTATGGTTCGGAGAAAGTATTGAACATGACGAACGAACGAACCAAGAAAGTAATCATCCACCAGGTGCTGTGCAGAGATTCTTGCCTTCCTTCTCCAAATTTCAACCACCACTGGGTGAACTGGACGGGTTCTTCAAGGACAGTCCGACCCCCTTGACAGCTTCAGGTGCGCAAGGCACGTTGAAATGTAAATCTGTTGAAAGCGTACCTGTGACATCCTGTGACTATTAGGACGATACATCTATAAATCCTATGGCCCCTGATTGAGATCTAACGTTTCACTGGCACGGTCACGCCGGACTGGGGTCGCGCCGAGACCTGGCGGAGAACTGCTTCTTTCGAAAAGGAACGAGACGCCCCGTCTCAACATGACAAGCGAAAAAATATTCACCCAAGCAGGTGGGCCTTAGCCAGAATCTGATGCTGAATCTGCAGCCAGAAAAAGAAAGTGGTAGCTGGAAACTAAGTCAATCAGCACATTTCTGCTGGAGAAAAAAAACACTCGAACCCTGACATGTCACCAGAAAAGGAAGAGAAAATGGACACCAGGCTACAAGCTGTCCTTTCTGCAGGTCGAAGCTGGCACCGATATGGCCACTTCAAGTGGCAACAAGCCAAGACTATCCCGTTACGGATGGACTGTCGTGGACGAACAGATGAAAGGTCCCCAGGTCGGTTTTGTGGTCCAGGTGAGTCCTGTGTGACAGCCATGAAATCATGAAAACCTCTTCTAAATCCCTTCAACAAAGAGCACGACTCGACTCTGGGTCCGGTTCCGTTTCTTTGCTCAGGGTGAAGGCCATGAAAAGGCGGTTTAGTCACACACCAAAAGGACGGACCTGGCCATTTCAGATGAAAACCAACACCACCCCCCGCCAAGCCCCGCCAATTCGACGCAGGCGCTTCAGCCGTCGTCCGGAGCGGCTCGTGCGGCGGTCGGTCTCGGCGAAGAGGTCCTCGTTGGTCGACCAACCGTTGCGGGCGAGAGTCGGGTCTCTTCGTCCAGAAAGTGAAGCAAGAGAGGGGATTTGGGACAGATTCGAATAGAGATTAGAGATCTGGAAGATGTGAATCTGAAGCAAGAGATTTGAGGTACCCACCTGCCCAAGCACCATAGTTCAACGATTTGGCCCTGTTCCCCACCTTCTTTTGGGCGCTCGACCTCTTTCTTTACACACCCCACACACCCGTTTTTTAGAGGAGAAGCACCTGGCGCTCTGTCAACACTCAAGTGACAGGGAAGTAGAATCACCCTCCCTGGAAAGACCATGATAATTCGAGGACCAAATGGACCTGCGACCTCGTGGCCAGTGTTTTTCTCACTTTTAGCCGATCCCGGCCGTTGGAAGCGGGGAAAAGTCGATGACATGAATCCAGCCGAGCCCAATTGGGGGGTCAATATCCCATCAAACTTGTGCAATTCATGAGCAGAAAGGGCTTTTTTGACCGATTCATTGAGAGACCATGGCACAAAGGAACAAGTGGAATACTCTGAAAATCACGCCTTGGGAGAGATGTTCTTCCTCCACGAAAACCAGTGGTTTTCCCCTTCCGAAATCGCGCCCGAAGAGTTCCTATCCGTCGAACTCTCCATCCTTCAAGAGGAACGAATCTCCGGCTTTTGCAGGCTTCAAAGTCGCAGGCGGTGACCGAACGAGATGGAGATCCTCCTTTCACCTTACCAAGCAATGGTCCTCCCCCCATTACCTTCATTCCAAACCACGAATTGGACTATTGTGTCAGAGGCATGTCCCCGAAACACCTCTTTGCAGCTCTACATCGCGATCAAAAATGCCATTGCTTTCCATCATTTTCCATCCAAAAGCGTGGAAACCTTAGGCCAAGCTGTTTGGTTTCCTCCCTGCGTGCTCCATTCCGAATCTTTGGCCCCATCTCCTCTTCTTTGGAAATCTCCTCCGTGAGGTGTCCTGAACCACCGCTGCTTTCTTCAAACATGCCAAGGGTGGAGCAGGCCGACTCCAGTCCCGTGGGCTTGGATCTGTGATTGCAATCCGGGTTTCACCCCCAACCAATGTGTAGACTGGTCTATCTTCCCTTGGAGTCCAACAGGGATGGTCTCCCTATTTTGACATCGGTAAGGCTGGTCAATTCGGTTCATCCCCCGCTTTTGACCCACTGCCCCAGAGCTTCTGGGTGGTTGAGGAGTCCAGATCTGAAATGTCTTCACTACCTTCAAGGACCTTCGTCCAAAAAGGTCCCCCTCAATCGACGGCCGGTTCTGAGGTCTTTCGAAGAGAGATCAGAAGGATATATCATGATATATTTCTTCAATGGGGTGTGTATCAAAACAGGAACATATCACCGGTTCGACACCCCCTGGAAGGAGATGATGTTTGTTGCTCTGGTCTCCCCATTCGTTGCAAGTCTCCCCATTCGTTGCACCTGCTGATGAACCCACCGTGCCCAAGGACACTGAGACATATATAACTTAACGAAGACTCCGAACGGAGAAGATCTGTACGACCAGGGCCAGCAGCGGCTATGGGCACTATCTGTTTACAAGTGTTTCGTCTCCAAAGCCCCCCAAATCCCTTGTCGATGAGTAGCAGGCTGAGGGGGGGAGCTTTTCGAGTCTTGAAAGAGCTGGCGAATTGTAGAACTTCCACAGCTTCAGAAGCAAGAAACCCATATTTAAACCCCTTTCAATCCCTTTGAGGTTCTTCCTTCCCCCCAATTGCCCCCCCCCAATTCCCCCCGCAGTAGTTCGAACCTTCGAACCTCTCACGGATTCCGAACGTCCGAGCCACGGATGCTGCCCTGCAGCAACATGCCGAAGACGTCACGGTCCTGCAGCTCAGTCGTCTGTCTTCATCGGCAGCGAACGTGCCAGGTGTGGTGAGTGCGAGCCGAAGAGCTAAAGGGTGGTCTGGCACTTGGCTTCGTGAAACGAATCCCAAAGAGCCAGGGTGGATGAGGTCAGGGTGTAGAAGTAGAGGGTTTTAGCCGGGGGAGGGAGAGGGTGGAAGAGGTGTGAAGACTCCCAAGATTTTCTTCAACCACCATGCATTCAGAAACAACACTTTTGATGTTTGCCAGCAGACACAGCAAAAACATGCAAAAACACGTCAACACCTTGCCAGCTTCTAGCGAGCTCTCTGGTGAAAGCAGCGGGGAATGGGTGTCATGGACGCCTCGCAAAAGGTGGGAGACTTGCTGTTCCTGACAGGTATGGCCGAGGTGGATGGCCAATCTGGCGTGGCAGGACGATGATGTGTGGGGCCCAGCACGCGCCTTGTCCCAGAAAATGCCAAAACAAATTGTCAGACCAACACCCACGTTTAGGCTACGAGGACCGTCCAAGCCCGGATGTTTTTTGGACACCCCCGAATCATCTCTTTACGAGGCCAAAAAAATAACACCTCAGAAGGAAGGTCCAGGGTGGCAGAGAAAGCTTCGTCGGCGGGATGCTTCGTGCAAGGACCGTCGACGGTCCCTAGACGCAAGGAGACGGTCCTCCTCTCCTCTCCTCATCCAGTCTCGTCTTGGAGACCACGAAAACATGCTTGTAGATGTGGATCAATTAAAGAAATAATATAATATATATATATATGTAAAGGGATGTCAACCTTTCATGGTTTTGGTGGATGAGGTTTTGACAGAGTGCACATGATCACACACTTTCCACACAACTGTTTGGACCCAAAAGAGACGAGCAAATTTCATGCTAAGCTGTCCTTCCTCCGTCCAAAAAAAAAGAATACCCTCCTGGCCCTGCATCGAGGGCAGGCGGTAGCCGTCAGGGCACATCATTCGAAGGAAGTCGCCTTTGTCCAGGCAACCTCGGCACCGTCGGTATTTGACGTCATTTGACATAAAATCATGGCTTCTAGTGGTGCCCAAATATAGATAGTGGCACAGTGTCCAATACCTCTTCTACGTAAAGACTTACGAACCTCTATCATATTTGGGGGTCTGTATAATTGGTGTCCTTTGCAAAAATATCATGTGCGTCCCTTCTATTCTTGGGCTTTTGGACTGTGCTGCACGGGCCGTATGCTTCAGCATGGCTGAAAAAAAAGAAACGCGCGGTCGAGCTGGTCCGAAGGCATTAGGGAACAAATGCATCTTCTCGTAGCGAAGGATCGGCAACCTCAACACGACAACGAAACCTGAAAGTGTGTGTTAAAGCTTGTTGAGTATTAGAGGCTTAACATCAACAGACTAAAGTGAAACAAATCGACTCTATGTAACATCTAATGCTTCAATAAGCTTTGAACACCAAAGAGACATAGTATGGCTTGGAAGAACCATTGACAAACACCATTCTCCACATGAAACATTCCAAGAAGCGCCATTTGCATATTTCTCTACTCTCCGTACTCGAAAACACTACTTTCAAAGACCCCTGCTCAACTCCTCCCTGCTGTTGAAGGAGGAAACCCTGCAGCAGAGCAAATGGAGAAGACCCGACCAATTACACTCACTGGCATCATGGTGGAAGTGGACGGCACGGCCCCAATTTTGGACCCTGAAATCCGAGTACCAACCACGTGGTGAAGTCCACTTCCATATTTCAGGGAGTGCCTGGGTCATGGGTCTCGGGTCTCATCGGTCGCAGGGTTCAACCCTTTCCTCCCCGGAAGCCACCGGTCTGGGCGGTCCCACCATCATCCGATAAGTCCCACCTCAGCGAGGCGGGACTAAAGACACCAAGCCCGTCTTCTCAACAGGTTCCCCCAAACCCTGAAAAGGACGCAGAAAAATCATTTGAGGATGCGGAAAGATCAAAAGATCATTCATTCGTTGGCAGCTTGGGGCCTTTATCACGTATGTTTCTTCTGTTGTCCGGATGAAAAACCGTGTCACTGTTTTCGCCTTTTTGTGCAGGGAAATCATCCGGAGCTGGGGAATCGTTTGTGTTGCTGGGCAACTCTGGATGAAATCACACTGACTTAGGGGAATTCAGGGGAATTTGTCCGATTTCCGTCTTGGATCCTTGAATGAGCTTAGTACAATTGACCAGGTGGCTTCGGATTGGAGCCTAGGCTACAAGGAGGAAAACCACCGAACATGACCTTCCACACAGGGATGAGGAGATACAGTCAATTCTCAAAAACGAACTTCTCACTCACTCACATGCAGGCCACATCCCATCGCATCCGCATCTCCGACACATGCTGCATCCATCCTGCCTCGCCACGACCTACCCAAACCGACCGAGGGCACAAGCCACTTGAAAATCCACAACCGCACTGCAACATCCTATTCACGAGCACCACTCAACAAACCTCACCCACCACAAAGAACACATGCTGCATCATGCTGCGACCAGCTCTCCCAGCACCTGGTCATTCTCACCCAGCCCAATGCGGTCAGCAACCCTCCGACCCACCCCTCCCAACACCTGGTGCACCTGACCACACCTACCAACCCCACCCAACCCCACGTCGACCGGCTTCCGTGGTTCTTAGGGGGGGGCGCAAAGCCACGGTCGGAGCGCGGTTCCCTTTCGCCCCGGGCACTTGGCGATGATGTTCCGCGTCTGCTCGTCGTCCCAGCCCCAGTGCCGCTCGATGGCCGCCACCTCCACGAAGCCGGTGCCCTCCACGTCCTCCAGCGGCGCGGGGTCCGCCCAGCGCGGGGTTCGAGCGGCGCCCGAACAATCGTGGCGCCCGGTGAGTGGAGTTCGGCGGGCGCTGGGGAGTTCGGAGCGGATAGGGAGGGGGTAAGGGTTGGTTGCCGTGGTTGGTTGCTGCCAGGGGGGTGCATCTGGGTTCTCAAATGTCTGTGGAGCTCAGGAGGAGGCCGCTCTGGAGGTATGAGTGCATCAGAGAGACCCATCAGAAGACCCAACTCAATGTCAGCTTCATCATTGGCTTTTGAAACGCGACTACAGGTGTTTGATTGAGCATCAGCACAACCTGGCAGAAGAAGAACACACTCAGAGGCCTGTAGGAATTTCCCTTGGTCAACCCATCTTCGGTCCATCACCTTGGTCCTCCGAGCGCATCGACGTCCCCCCCCCCGCTCCATCTGCTCGAACTCCCGTTCCAGGCGAGCCTGCGGCAGTCGGAGAGCTCTCCCGGCTTAGCCGGGGTGAAAAAAGATCCGATGTTCGACGTGCCAATCGAAAGTCAGAGAAGAATGCGGGAGGACTGACCGTTAAAATCTGCTATGGATCCAGAGTGCGCGTAGCTTGGTGTTCTTTTCTGGACGCTTCGATGTTCAGCTAGCCAGAGCCGTTTGGAGGCCACGGATCTCATCTGTCCACAGGGACTTCCAGGTCTCGAACCGCTGCAGGGACTTCCAGGTCTCGACTGCGATGTCTTTTCTGATTCGCATCGCTCAGTCGCGTCCACTCATGTGTGTCACTCCAAACATGGACCACAGAAACGTGTCACGCCTTCTGTCTTTGGGCCCGTCCCGCGTCCCTCTCCGTGTCGACCCCTCGGCATGCGAGGCGAGGCTGAGGGACCTGGTCGTCGGCCGGCAGGACGGGCATCCTGCTCTTCTTGGCGAAGAGCTCGGCAGCCTCCGTGAGGAGGTCCATCTGCGGCGCAGGGACCGGGACCGCAGGGACGGGACCCTGCTGGGAGGACCGTGGGGGGGCGGAGGACGGGGCGGTTGGTTTGTTTCGGAGTGAGGGCCTTTTGGAGATTATTCGAATCTTAGAATTCAGATCTGCAGAACATCTATGAACATCTAAATCAACCCATCGAAGGTTTTTGTTGGGTCCAAAGACCCCAAAGATTTGGACGTGAGGTGTTTGGTGGGACTGGATGTGGTGTTCCATCTGCATCCAGCTTCTGTCTGCTCCTGGTGTTGTGACAAGAATGGTCACAATACAATCCTACTTTATTTGTTTTGCTGCTTGTTGAGGGCTGTGAATGCCAGCTAGTAAAAAATCCTACTGCGACCTCGAAGATCGTTAAAGATGTTGAAAGTGCCTTCTGGCTGCAGGCAACCGATGTGCCACAAACACAGGCTCCGACGCTGGGTGGCTCCCGACGGCTCGCCTCATGGCCTCGCTTCTGAAGGTCGTCGTACTGTTGACACCTCGAATTGCTTCGGGCGCTGCGTGGCTGCTTGGGATCATTGGATGGGGCAGCGAAAAAAACTTCAACGAACTCAGAGAAAGGCGGGTCCCCAGCTCTTGGAATGAACTCACACCAGGACCAGCCAATGAATGGACTGCCCGGACTGCCCTTACCCGTTTTTCGTTGGTCCTCCAAGATTGGGTCAACTGCTGTGAAGGAAGAAGGTAAAGCTGCACCGAGTCGAGATCGGTGTCTCAACCACTGATGAACAAATCGGGAGAACCCATCCATCATGCACCCAAACAGATCCCCAACACCGGGCCAAGGAGATCGTGGAGTAGGACGCGCGAATGGAGTAGGACGCGTCTTGGGATGTGTTCAATTCCGGGCCCCGGGGGCAATGCGAAGAAGTGATGTATATATGACAAGAACCTGATGCAAAAAATAAGAGCCCCGGATGTCATATGCATCAGGTGATTGATTCAACTGATGCAATATATGACAAGAACCTGTGTAGGACTCCTGCGCCGACTGAATAGGTGGTATCCTTGGACGTGGGACATGTTTGAAGAACAGCCTGGGAGCACTTGTGAGTGTTTGAACCCTATGCTATCAGTAAGTGTTAAAGTGAGTTTAAAGAGAAACACCCCATGCACCAGTCACAAAAACCGGGAAAATTGATGAATCCAACGCCTCGTTGGAAATCCCATGAAGAATTGAGACCAGCGCACTGGTGAGTGTCCAAATGCGAACCGGACGAAGGAAGGAAATGCAATGATATATGATGTATGATATTGATATATATATATATAATATTATATTATATATACTGTATATATAATTATATCGGACCACAAGAAGTGATATTACTTCTATTACTTTAACAGGGAGACCCCCTGACACACCCACACGAAGTTTTTGCAAGCACGTACAGTACCTGCTGTCGTTTCTACCTACTTAGGGGACTTCTTGTCGTACCTTGCTGAAGCTTCTCATCTCTTAGGGCGGCACGATCAGCACCACAAAGACCCCAACCCTTTGCTTGGGAGTTCTCCTCTCTTTGGGCGCCACACCACGGAAGAAAAGCCGCCGTTTTCTCTCACCGAAACACCACCCGTCGACCCGCACCGGGACCGCCGCACCGGGACCGCCGCACCGCAACACCGCAACCCGAGCGGCCAGGACTCGAAGGTGGAGAGGTGCTTCGCTTTGGCGCCCGGGAAGGCCTGGCCGTTCCCGCGGTGCCCGGAACGCGGAGACTGGAAGAACCCGCTGGTGCCGAAGGAAAACCGGCTGGGTCAGAGAAATGATGTCTTTGGAGGTTTGGATGCTGGTGATTTATCAAACGTTCGCAAGCAATCTTGAGCTGAAATGCAGCAAGAATACAACAGGTCAACAACATATTCGTTCAAATATGTTCTATGTATTGTTGTTTCATCACCGGCGACAAATATGGTCTTTCATACCCCCCTGAGAAACCCCCAGTCTTGGGGTCAGGATGGGTTCGGTGGGGAGGTACGTTCGGTCAAAATAGGTTTTTGTGTCCGCCTGAAGCAAAAAGAACTGTTGCTTCAGGTGGAGCATCCAATGTTGCCTTGGAAACCCATGGAATTGAATCAGTTGGACTCAAAAAGGAACCATGTCTTGCCACAAGTCGTTGTGCATGGCCCTCTGGCCTGTCGGCAGATCGCCCTTCAGAACCGGTCCCGCCCGGTACGCATCGCGGGCCTTCTTCAGGAACTGGATGAAGGTCGGCTGCCCTGCAAGGAGCTGCACCATCACACTAGTCTCGGAGACGCCAATCCACCCCACCACACCACCCAGTTGCTCCTCCTAACTCCTCCCAAACACCCCACGAAACCCGCCCAAGAGCTGCTTCGTCGCCCTAATTACTTTATCCCTCCTTTCCCTCCCAGTCCTCGAACATCGTCCATGGTCTTATGCATGGCTTCCGCCACCAACTCCCACAGCTCCAACGTCAAGGGCCGCCGGAGACCGTACCTGCGGCAGACCCCGTCCGAGCCGAGCCGCGGCGGGCGCCGACCCACGAGTCAGTGAAGCGGCTCAACATGTGGCCGCAAGCCAAAGCAGCGACCAGATGGCCCAGCCAAAGCAGCTCAATGAACCTTCACAAGGCAAATGACTTGAGCTCAGAAGAACCCCAGGTGACCTGTGACATGATGCCCCAAACCGATCAGTGTGAGGGTAGTGTCATCCAGGAATCATGAAAAAAACCTAGCTTTTACCGGGAATAGATGTTTTTGGACGGGTCCCATCAGTGACCCCTCTGCTCCGTGAAGGGAAGGGTGTGCCTGGGTACAGCAAAACGCACAGAAGCCAGAAACACCAAAATCCCGCCAAACAAATTAGAAACATGTTTACTTGCAAAAAAATATCAAAGTTTCCCATCTGCCCTGGTCTCAAAAAACAACACTTGCCCTTGGCCGAAAAGCGAAAAGCATCCACCCGGATTCTTTCGAAGGCTCACTCCGTCTCGGAGAAAGTCAGCTGGAAGCTGCCCTCCTCGACACCTCTCAGGTCTGTGTCGTGGCAGTGGTCTTCGTAGTAGCAGCAATAGAAGTGATAGGAGCTGGAGTACGTAGTACAGGAGTGTTGGGAGTACCGGCAGGGAGCAGTATTCTGAGTGGTAGCAGCTGAGTGGCAAGGGACACGGCTGACCCTTAAAGACGTCGCCCGCGCCCGCTCATGAGGGCGTTGCTTCGAGGCCGCTGCCCACGGCACCGACTCCGGCGGTGTTTTCAGCCCAAGGCGCAGAGCTCGTAGACATCCCGGACGAAGAGCACCTGCCCAGGCGAATGCCGGCGGCGGCGAAGGCTCGACTCGCGGGGGACTGGGTGGAAGGAGGGGTGGAAAGGCGTTCAGGAAAGGTGCGACCGGGTCCCAAACACCCCGGTGAACCCGTCGTGCCCCCAGCGGTCGCCTGCCACCGGTCGGGCAGCTTCACCTCGCGCGAGGTCTCCAACTCCTGGCGCCGGGGTCCGATCCCGACCGGGCGACCGGGGTTTGTTCCAAGCAGCTGGTGGGGGTTCGTTGAAGACCATCCTGGTTTCTTTTTGGGTGTGGTTTGGAGGGTGGATGCGAAGCGCCCAGATCCCCATCCCCAGAGCCCTCATTTGGCACACCTGCCTTTTTTGGACCTGCTCCTCTTGATCTTGGGGCTTTGGGAGGAGATAGGGAGGTGGTTCATGTTCGTTTTGAAGGGGGCCCGAAAGAAAACGGCCCTTTGGTAGGTCTTTTGATGGAAATCCCAAACTGGAGAGTCGTTCAACCTGGAGAAGTACCTGGACTCTGGAAGGAAAGCAAGACCAACTTCCCCCCAGTCCCGACTGAGCACATCATGCACCCATCATCTCAGCCTGCTCCCACCCCACTTCGGATCGCTCATCGCCCACCTCTTGAGGAACCTCCACGACCTCGCTGTGTGAGAGGAACCACTCCTGGGAACCGAAGGAAACCGGAGGAGAGGGAAAAAGCACCGAAGGATCTGTGACTTCGGATTCAAATCTTCACTGAATTTCAATCATGTGGCCTAAGTGACCTCATTCTGGGATCTCAAAAGGTCACTGGAAAGGTCCTGGCATGTGGCTCCTTCCAACGATATTGGATCCCCAGGCTGCAGTGACTTTCGAAGCCTGACAAAACCTGCGGGCCCATAAGCAAAACAAAGCAGCAACCAAAAATGTCACCCCGACTTGGGATTTCGAACAGTGCAGGTATCTTCAAGAGAAGTCTTCACCCTTACTTCTCTTCCTGCGTTTTTGGACCAGGAGAAGTGCACTTGGATGGTCATCCCATAAACGTGGGTGGGATCTTTTAGTGGGTTCTCGGCCTTTCGGTCGGTTCTTTCAGTGGGTTGGTTTAGTTGGTTCCTTTGATTGGTTCTTTCAGTTGTTCTTTTTTGATTGGTTTCTTTTAGTTGGTTCTTTTAATCGGTTCTTTCGGTTGAATTCCCGTTGGTGAAACCCTCGGTTTTTCCGGGAGGTGAGACTCAGCTGGGGGGACGAAGTTGGTTCGTCCAATTTTGAGATGTGCAAAAGCAACTAACCTGTGGAGAATCCAAGTAGACCAAGCAGTCCGATTCTCTGTTTGGAACGCTTTCCGACGCTTTGGTTTGATTTTAAGTTGGACAATGAATCAAGCAAATCCTGGCAACTGCAGAGTCGCAAAAACCAATCGCTCCCTCTTTGGGCTACCGTTTCCGCCCCCCCTTCGCCCCTTCGCTCCTCTGATTTGAGGTGGTACAAATCCGCGCCGCTGCCGCGCGCACAGAAGCGCTCGATGGCCAGAGCATAAGGCAAGGCCAGAGGGTCCTGTCCAGCAATGGTCCACTTGGCTCAACCCAAGTGATTCTTCTCCCACCCAGTGATTCTTCTCCACTCAACCCTTTTTTAAGCTTTTTTAGCTTACTTGGTTCTCTCTCCACGATCATCGTGGTCATCTCTCAGGTGATTCCGTGAAAAGTCGACCAACCATCCACCCGATCTCTCGATGGAAAACGACCGGAAGGATCGGGTTCTCGGACCTCTCATCCTTCCACCGACGCCGAGCGCCGACTCTCCCGGAAAAAAGCACCCGGCCTTGAACTCCCGGAAGCACCAGGCCTCGAGGTGAGGCATGTTGGACCGGTGGGTCCGAAGGACATGTCCAGTGATTGGGATGGAGCGAACTGGACATGAACTGCTCTGGTTGATTGTTTCGCTCCAATTTGCTCTGCCTTTCAGAAAATTGGATGGTCTCTTCTGGAGTGTGCGCTACTTTTCACCTGTGCAACTGATCTCAGAAGTCTCAGATGAACGGAGGTAGCATTTGGACCATGACGAAGCTAAATTCATCTGACACGGTCAGGCGTTTCACGGGGTTCGATACCCTAAGGCCAACACCTTTCAGCAGAGATATTCCAAGGATGTCTCCCCCACAAGGCTCCAAGGTCGGTCGGTCAGTTGGTGAGGATCAGTCAGCATTGCTTAATATTGGTTTGATGGTTTGATGGTTTCCTCCAAGGCAAACCCACATCGAACATCACCTGACACATCTCAACCAGGGTTCAGGATGGTTCAGGAACATGTGTACCTTCTGATCAACTGCCAGGTCACCAAAGAAAGTTCAAACATATGTGGTCAAGGGCCCTACAATGCAATCCTTTGCTCTGCCGTGGTCATTTCCCCGAACTTGTCATTTGGATACTTGCACGCTCCGTGGCCCTTTCAGGAAGACGATTCCCCACCACTTTTGCCGCTCTAAATCATCCAATAACCGACCTCAACGTTCCGCACCCGAATTCGTGGTAAACCCGCATTGCGCCTCGACGACCTTGTAGTTGATGACTTGCCGCAAGGGCACATTCTCGCCCTTAGAACCGCAGCAAGAATTGTTTTGAGTAGGCCCCCAGGCCAAAGAGAAGGAGCTAACCCCATCTGGCAAAGCAAGGACCCAAAACCTGACAAGAGCTCGCGTGAAGAGAGAGAGACAGAGAGAGAGACAGAGAGAGAGAGAGAGAGAACCTGTATACAGTGTCTTGAAGCTGACCGTACGCCGTACGCCTTTCTGGACCAAAACGGGTGTTGAAAGAAGAGACTGTGTGACTCCAGTCAGTTCTTTCTCCACAAGGCCACAAGGCCCGTCACCCACCACCAACCCCTCGAGGGCGTTCCTCTGAGAGCGCGGCATATTTCGGGAGACCGTTGACCTGTGGGGCACCGGGTAGACGGAGGTCGTTCGGGCGTGCTGCTGAACATTGGAGCCGTCTACTTAGCGGGACAGCACGGGGGACCAGCGTAAATCCTGGACGGTGTTTGTTTGGAACTGCTAAGCAGCCAGGGGCAACCTCCTTGAACAATCTATCTGGTTTCCGAAGTGTCCAAACTATGCTGATTTGGGTGGAAGTCTACCTGGCGCCTACTGGCGCCTGGGGAAGCTCATCCACTGTGAGTGTCACGGACCACGGGCCGGTCCACCGTGTGTCCACCCGACCCGACGTCGAGTGTGGAGGTGAAATGCCGACACCCAGCCAATGGGTACACCGAAGGGTCGATGCTTCTCGTGGATGGAGGGGGTCGGAACGCCCCCCCGTTCAGGTCTCCCTCTTGGAGTATGCAACCATACATGTAGCAGCTGGTTCCAGGTTCAAGGTCCAGGGTTGGGGGTGAAACCTGAAAACCATGAGTTTCCTGTAGAGTTCCCCTTGAACCAATCCATTGAATGTGGTGACAGCTTGTGCATCGACCAGCCGGCATCGAGCGGATCGATCGCCTCGTCCACCTCTAAACTCTGGGCCCTCTCCAGCTTCGCTTGCCGCTCCTTGATGGCCTAGCCAGCGCGCTGGGCATGGCAGGGTCCAAATTCGCTCATGTCCAGCGTCTTGAGTCTTGGGAGAGGAGACACAGTACCACCAAAAGGAGAGCAAAGCAGGCCCACAAACATGAATAAGAACATCTTCAATGTTTCCACTTCCCGAAACTGAACATAACGATCTGCTGAGAAGGCTTCCCCTGCTTTGCTCCTGGTCTCGTCCTCCAAAGCATCAACATTCGGCTTGCTCGCCTGCTCTCCTCCTCTTCAAAAACCTTTGTGCTCTCCCAAACCAAACGAACCGTTGCGACACCCCTCCAACACCCAGAAAAGAACCAACACCCCCTTGGATTTGCTTCAGGAAGCTGAAGAGAAAACAACACATTCCCCTAGAATAAGATTCACCCATATCATAAGAATCACCCGAATCTGCAAGACCAGGCACATCTCCAAGCTCGACCCCCCCAAAAAAACAGAAGAACCCAAAAACACCCAGCGCTCCATCTGACGCCACGTGCGTTCTTACTCGGCCTTGATGAGCATGTCTCGGGTCACTTCGCTGCTCTGCGACATGGACATCAGCCGCTCCGCTGCCTTGGCCTCGGACAGCATCCGGTGCATCAGCAAGTGGATGTGACAGCGCACCGTCGCACAAAACGTCCACGTTTTGGGGGGAAGAACATGGGCTGAAAACACCAAACGGGCTTCTTTTTCAGAGAAGAACCACTTGATGTAAAAGTGGAGATCTCAGCATGACAGCTGAATACGACCCTCTCGCACCCTTGGCACCCATCGCATGCATCAGTCACCTTGCATCGTCTGGTCGCTATTTCAGTCCGTCGCCAAGCGGCCGAGATCCGGTCGTAGAGCCGCCGTCCCAGCTCACCTTGGTCGCCCGAGCGAGGCCCTTCAGCGGCGCCGAGCGAGGCCCTTCCGGGTCGTTCTCTTTCGGCCGCCGCTGCGCCGTTCCGTGTTGGGAGGAGACGGAGGAGACAGAAATCATGTGAAATGATCACACATCCAACGTCCCTCTGCCAAACATTTCCGCGTAGAACCTCAAGTGTCACAAACACATGACATATGTGTTTAGATGGACGGGTCTCTCTCAGCCCATCTGATCCCTGCACTGGATTCAATACAGGCATGTGAAGTTCAATGGTTCACGGAGACCCGAGGTGGATCTCTTCATGAACAGCAACAAATCCACTTGTCTTCGAGTGTCAAGCCTCCAATCGTTGAACGTCGCAGGGCAAGGAGGCCATGCATGAGAGCGAGTGAGGCCAGTAGAACCCACTGAGGCAGTGACCGGTGAGCTTTGATGTGGGCTTTCATGCGGATGATTCATTTCTTCAGGTACCATGACTGGTCTTCTTGAAGAAAGTCGGCAAAATGAAGCCTGTTCCATCGTGCTGGGCAACTAAACCCCTGCAAAAAGACCCGACTGCCAGCAGTTTTCTCTCACTCAATAACCACCTATATCGACAAAAACAAGAACCTACGTGCATATGTATATATTATATATTGTTTGTTTATATGCCAATATATATATATATATGCATGTTCAAAGTAGTTCAAACATGTTCAAACAGCTTGTTTTCCACCCTGCATGTCAGCTGAAGCCAGTCACTCTGCACGTAAAAAAACCGTTCACCTCTTACAGCCAGCCCCCCCAACGCCGAACACACCGAGGCACGGATGACCTCCAGGGACGGCATCATGGACTCCTCCGACCGGCGGATGCCGGAGACCGAGGGAGTCCCAGGAACGGCCAGGCCAGCGGTGATCGCAGCGGGCGTGATGGGTTTTACAGGATATCCCATTGACCGGCAACGGTATTATAACAGTGTTTTGTTTTTCAGGGTCGTGGGACAGGCCGAAGAGTGTGTACTAAATGTCCACATTGACATCCCTAATGATCCCTTTTTCTTGCCAGAAAGCTACCCCTATGAATCAAGCCCAGCTGCCGCAGAAAAATCAAAATAATTAGTTTACTACTATAGATTATAGATATTCTTATTTACTTTCTTTTTAGTCAGCATCCAATATCTTCTGGTCAGCATCCATTGTTCCACAATCTCTAAAAACTCTCTAGCAAAATTACTTCATATTCTCTTATTAAAACTCTATCAAAATCTTAAGGTGTTCAAGCTCACAATGGGTACCCCTTACACAGGCCTCATGGTTCATACATAATCCTATCAACCATCATCCATCAGGTATTCACCTTTATTAGGCGGATGGTCTCCAATACCTCCAACATCAAACCTTGTTGACCTTGGATGGACGAAGGGGGAGACATTGATTCGTCCCAAATGACCCTGTCCCTCGGAGGTCTCCCTGTCCCTCGGACCGTTGGGTCGGGACGAAGCGACGAAGCGCCCCCAAAAAAGGGCGAATCCGGGGTTTCCTCTCTGGCCCGATTTCGGGTTTCGAACGGCGACCGGTATGGAGCTTTGGGTCGAAGATGTAAAATGGATGTTGCTTCTTGTGGTCTACGACACGTCTACAACGACACGCCTTCGACGTCCCAACCGGAAATCGAAGCCAAGCCTTCATCAAACCCGCAGGGCGCAGCCCTCGCCACCAGAGCCAACTCTGGTCATCGTCAAACTCCCAAATCGCCCAACACCCAGAAACCCGGCAGTGAAGTGTGGGTACAGTAGCAAGGTGTATACCAAATCCCTTCAAACACATTTAAGAAACAAACCCATCTGTCCAAAACAAGTCCTCTCCCTTGCAAGTCCGTAGCTGTTTCAACAGTCTGGCGTACCTCGCCCCACCGGACTCCCCAAACGCCCGCCTTGCTCATCAGCCCAAAGGCTGAGCCTAACCCCCGCACAAAGGCGGTGATGAAGTTCACGAACTGCATCTCGTCCAGCGTCCGGCCTACGAATTGGGACGAATTCGGTTGAAAACCTGGAGCCTTCGGTGGTGGACGAATTCGGGTGAAAACTTTGGGAGGGTTTCCCTTCTCTAGTGCACACCCAGGAAGATGTTTGTTTGTGGGACACAAGAACAACGCAGAGCTTGGGGAAAAGGGTTTGCACACTTGGGCTTGGGTTTTCACTTGAATAGGACTGCTGTTAGCTGAAAGCATGTTGGGGCCATTCTGCTCAGACCAACGGGTCGCAGCTATTGTAGCATCTCAACTGGGAGAATCTCCTGACATCACCAAGGAAAGAACCGACATCACCAATGCCAGTCTTCAGGTGATGTCCACCTCGCCGGTCCAAAAAGCCTCCCACCCAAGAACTGGGCCGATCTTCACAAGACTCTGGGGAGCCTCCAAGGGAGAAGGGGTAGCCACTTCATGGGCTTCTGGGCTTCGCAACAGCGTGATGCTGTTGCAGCCTTGCTGTGAAGAAGCTGCACCAGCAGTGGGTCCCAGCTGGGTGGTACATCAACAAGAGAAGATTAAAGAGAATGAAGAACCCTGGGACCAACAACCGATCATCCCCCGGGTCTGGTGGTTGCTCCATTGGTTTCGGTAGCCATCAAACCTCAAATAATATTCTTCCAAAACCCCGGCTCCAACATGTCGAAAAAACCCGGCTCGAGCGACTGTCATCATGATCCGCCAAGCCGAAGATGAAGCGCAGCTTGTCCTTCGGAGCCTTCGCAAACGGCCGGAGTTCTCTGCAGTGTGAAAAAAAGGACTGAAGGCGGCGGGTTGGAGCCTTCGTCATCATTTTGATGAGTCTTTGTTTGGGACGATGGAGGCAAAGTAACAAAGGGATAGATGTATATATAGGTGGATTGACATGTGTGTAATGAAGTTGCTTGGGCTCTCAACCTTTCCTCAAAAACTCTGCCATCAAACTTGAAGTGAATGAGCTAAACTCTTCTCAAACCACTAGGTCACTAGTAATTATGGGATGGTTTGCCCATCCAATCGCGCCGTGTTGACTCTTCTCTGGCTCCCAACTCCCCATGGTTTTCGTCGGTCCAAGCCACAATGAGCTGCGAGAGCAACACTCCCGCGGTGAAAAGGCTCACCATGGAGACTTTCATCCTGGCCCTCGGATGAACACGGAGTGCTGCGCTGCGCAAGAGGCGGTGGGGAGGGGAATGCCAGAGGATCCAGCATCTCTAGGCAATCCGAAACCCAACCAGGAATCCCCAAAGCCAAAAGGGACGGCCCAGAGACTCCCAGAGCCTCAAGCGCGGGTAGTTGGATCGGTGCAAGTCCGAAGAACAAGAATCATTGATGGATGAAGCACACCATGGTCGCTCAAATGCTTCATTTGCCACATCTATTAATTCATGACCCCATCAACCTTCACTCGAAGGTCCATCTCTGATGACTTGTTCTTTTGTTGCTAAGAGTGGCTCCACGTTCTTGCCTGAGTCCCAAGTTCGATAACCCGATAAAGTCCAGAGGCAGTTCTTTGTCCCGACTGGGGACTGCCCAACTTGAGCTGGGTGTCTAGTAAAATAAAGAAAAAAAGACACGGTACTTCCCGGCCGTCTGGAACAAGTCCACCCAACAACATGATCACTGACCAGCGTGTCTTCTCAAAAACTCAAGAACCACAGAACCACACAAACCTTGAAGCGAACGCGCCCAAGACCCCCAAGACCCGCAGTGGTTCACTCTTGGCGCCGTTTCCGGTCACAGTTCGCCCAGGCGCAGCGCAGGTCCAGAGATCCCCTCGGACTCCAAGCGCTTGTAACCTGGCGCGAGGGACCGCGAGGGACACGCTCAACTCAGCGCTAGGGACGCGCTGGCTCGAAGGGAGCGGAGAGCTTGGGCAGCTGTGGGGAGCTGTCGATGCCCAAGTCTGGAAAGAGTTTCACCAAAAGAATCCAAGATCAGTGGGGTTTTGGGGAGACTTTCACAAGTGGAACCCACTGGTGCATTTAGTGTCATCGTCGACCACGCCTCTCGATCTGGACGCAAACACCAAGCTTTTTGGTTGGTGCCTCCGCAGGACCTTTTTCGAAAAGTATATTTGCATGGAATAATGTTGGCGCTTTCTGGCTGCAGAGCAGAGGTCTTGAAGGATCTTGAGCGGTGTGTTCTTTCTATTTGGGACGAGCACTGCATCACCGCTGGCGCGGCAGTGCCCACGTGGCTTTGTGGCGACTTCGCCGCACCGAAGCATGACCGAAGCATGCGAACAGACCTGGTGGGATCGTGGGGAACCAATCTCCAACGATCCAGGGGTACCGCAGCTTGGTACAAAAACCATTCAAATGTGGGAGCGAAGTTCACCTCCCCGGATCGAAGGTACCGAGTCTAGTTGATGAGAGACGACGCACGGCTGTGTCCAAGGGCATCTAACCTGAGATGAAGGTTGTCCCACTATGACCGCAGTGTAGTGTCTGGTGCTTCCATATATTTCACCACCCAAAAAAGGCGTCCAGCCTGTATGTGTCATTGGACGGCCGTTCAGCCGCCCCATCCATCTACACACACGAGCTCGCGTCGGTTTCCCAGCCTGCCGGATCAAAAAGCTTACCTCAGCGGAAGACCACAGACGTGGGGTGTGGCAAACGTACGACCGACCGGAGAATGACTCATTACCAATGTGTAGTACAGTGTTCTGCCTTTGATCGGACAGAAGGAGAAAGACATGTGAAAATTCCTGCATGAATATCCTGAAATCATGAATGATAAGTGTACTTTTCTTAGGAATGGGCTTACTCTCCATGAAACCAACACAAATGACCAAATTTAAGCACAAAACCCTAATGTTGCCCTTCAGCCAAGCTGAACAAACCCCAGCTTTAAAAGCAAGAACGCCACTGACACAAAGGCAAAGCAAGAGCATTCCTACAACATCCAACAACCGATAAAGTAGGATACATGGTGCCTTAGACTTGCCTCGTTTCTACTGCCGACTGCCTGCTCAAGAAACATTGCTCCGCCTGCTCAGCCTGAGCAGGTCGTCCATCCCGACGAGAGGCAAATGTCCTTTAGTCGATGTCTTGGGAAGTTCAGGATCCTCAGGACAGGAGGACAGGAGTCAGTCACCCAGTCGCGAAGTGTTTCAAGCAGCGAAGCCAGGTAGTACACTCACTGGAATTTTCTCAAGGGCCCCAGGAGGCCAGGTGCCAACCTGGCCCCCCAGACCGGAGGGTGTCGATCCTGTGCTGTGCGAGACTCCAGGAGTTTGCTTTGCTCCACGAGCAAAGCAAAGGCCGCTTCGGAGGCCCAAAGATCATGTGAGCTCGCAAGGACCAGGGACTGGTGCAGCACTCTTTCGTGCAAAAAGACATGTAGAATGTAGACTCTCGAGTCTAATCAACCCACCCCGATTGGATTGAAACACCATCTCGCTAGTCCGATATTTTATGAAACAAGAGTCTATACAAGGCCAGGGCGGAGATCGGTTCAGCTCTGGGTCAACAGGGATCCCAACAAAAAAGACCCCAACCGGCCGGCCGAGGGCTGTTGAGCCTCTTGGGCCTGGAAGGACGGACGGAGGAGTCGAAACAGGCCTGGCCTCGACGTGTTTTCAGGCATGGGGATAACCGCTTTTCCAGGGAACAGAAACAAACAAAATGAGGGACCAACCAAAACGGTTCTCCATGTCCAGTTTGCACTCTACAGGTCTATGAACTAATGCTTATTCTTCCAGCAGGTCGGCCATGCAAAATCTGCCTCAATGCAGCCGCCCACCACGAGCTCACGAGCTGAGGCACATCTCCAATTCGAGGCCGTCGACCTGACCCAGAGCGGAGGAGCTCGAGCGGTGGATTTCGACCGCTCATCGAGCAGCAAAGTGCAGATGCTGGAGATGGAGATGATCTGAGGAATCCAAAAAAAACAAGTTTTCGGATGATGAAACATGAAAGATCCTGAAACGAAGCGATCGACAGACACCCAACAGCCAATCTTATTCGTTTGGGCTTCGATTGGGACGGGGGGTGATTCTGATGTGACCCCGACAGGCTTTTCCAATTCGCCCGACATCTCCCGGCCAAACAGAAGTCAAAAGGCTACCAAAGAAGAATACATTCTCCGACACCAGTTTAGAGGACGTATGTACCAGCACCTTCAAAGGGGTCACCAATGGAAGCCCCAGCCCACTCCTATCGGGGATCTCCAGACAGGACACCCGTTGAAGGTCCAGGTATACAGTATATATATATATATCCATGATTATCATCACATAATATATTAGTGTATATATTAATTATCATCCTAAAAGGCTGTTTGACCTTGTTGCTGGCTCTGCCGTCTGGGCCCGCGGGGTTCTTTCCCTTCGAAGGAGACTGACATGTTAAAGGTGACTGGTCGGTCGAACGGTCACCGACCATGGATGAGAATTGGAGGAAAGTATTCGGTGGTGGTGTCAGGGTGTTTCACCCTACCTCAGCCGCTGTAGTGTCATCTACTTCGAAGAACTGTTCAACATGGTTGTCGTTGAATCAAGGAACCTGATTACAGCCTCATTTTACAATTGATGGGGTCCTTTTGGTGACAAACCGGATAGGTCAGCATTTTCCAGTTCACAAGCACCCTCAGCACTAAGCCCATGGCAATCTCATCTTCCCAGGCGTCTTCCCCCCGTATTCTTCCCCTCTCACGGGAACGAACCGAACCGGACGACCCGGTTGGGAAGGAACCGAACCGAACCGGCGCCCACCACGAGCCTTGCCGGGAGCCTTCGACTTGCTCTTTCTCCCCAAGTCTTGCCACCTGGCAGGGAAAGACCCGTCCCAGCCACTGTGACGCTGCCGCGACGCTGCTTTTTTCACGAAGGACGCGAAGAGGTCTTGGGGGGCACTCCATTTTGGACATCAAAAGATCGCGAGGTCGTAAACGATCAGCCTGGCCGAAACCGAAATCTGCTGAGGAAGAGTGAATGTTTCAGGGCAGATCCGAACCTGGAATGAGTGGCACTATTACTGATCTCCTTCTGTGCAAGTCTGCATTCCTGAGATTCGAGCCTGAGATTTTGAGAGCTCTGTCACACTTTTCACTGCTTCTCATCATGCCCAAAAGCCATCTGTTCAGGTACCCAAACCATCGATCTTCCATGTTCCTGGCCTGCTCTCTCTCTCTCTACTGTTGCGATAAAACTCGATGACCCATTTCTGACCCTCCGACAACTCCTCCAGCTAGAAAACCAGTCCTTCGGCACCGAGTTCCCAGAGTGAAGGGCCTTTGACCGTCCCCCCGCGGCACCCCCCTCGGGTGACCGGTTCACGTGGGGCAACGGTCGGAGGTTTCTCTCCGGGCGCACCTGTTGTAACAGCGAATCCAGAACTCCAAGGTCCTGGGAGGGAGACGACAGGGTCCCACGTCTGGACCGTTTGGGCGCCAAGTGCGACAGTGGTATTTGAGTGCCTTAGAAGTTAGATGAAGTTACTGTCACGTGTTCCAAACCTGCCAGTTTGACCGAACCACGAGGATGCTGACTTTCTGCGCGCTCTGTGTTTTGCGCGCGCGTGATCTTCACAGTTTTGCGCGCCTGTTGCCGATGAGGCGGAACTCCATAGGCGGTTCCCCTGTGAGGATGGTGGACCAGAACTGACCTTGGGCGACGAGGGGGGGGGGCTCCAGGCAGCAACATTGGGGGCATCAAAGGATCGAATCACCCCACCGGATCGATCAAGACCGGTCGAATCGACCACACGGGTTCAACCACCGGTTTGATGCGGTTTCCACCAGTGGATGTAATGAACCATCGACCCGGTGGATTGGCGGCCACCAGTACAGGTGAGACCGTCTGTGCCCAGTACAGATGAACCAAGTTGGAGAAACCAATGAACCAGGGTGTGCCCAGTACAAGGCGATGTCTTGGAGGACAAATGACTGACCTATGGGGCATGCGGCACGAGTATCTCAGGTCAGTGGCATAGCGGTGAAACAGGCATCCTGCATCTGTGTCCCAGCTATCTTGACTAGGAAGAGAGAGAGAGAGACATCATTCAATTGTGATCAACAGGTCTCGCTTATTTCGAATCCAGAACATGTCAGTCCCACCAAGTCCAGTCGCTCCAGACGTCGCAGGATCACCAGGCTTCGCCCCCGCGGTGTCTTCCTTTCGTCCTCCACCGGGCTCCCATCCGGCTCCCACCGAGGCGCCATTGAACTTCCAATCCGTCCATTCGGAGGTGATGGCCGTTCCGATCTGGTCCATCGAACCTGGGGTTCGACACCCGACCCGATCAAGCCGGCGAGCCGTGCAGCCGGCGACGTCGTGGGCGGTCAGATGCAGTCATTTGCGCGAATCGACTGACTAGAGTTGACCAGGCTGACAGACTGACTGAGTGACTGGCTGACGACTCTGGCTGCCTGACTGACTGGCTGGCTGACTGACTGACTGACTGACTGGCTCTGACTGGCTCTGACTGACTGTGGTAACTTAAGTCAGCCCCAGATTCGAGTGAAAAGACTGTGTCCACCCAATCCATCGTCTCACACGAAGGACCCACCGATGCTTTCGCCCCAGGTCGGTTGGGGTCGGACTCGTCACCGTTGGTCACCTGTCAACACACGATGAACGCCATTGTTCACGAAGACAGGCCCCTTTTTTCGATGTACATTTGTGTGAACCATTTGGTTGATGGAAAAGGTCGTTCAGTGGAAAACGACAGATGATCAAGCTCTTATGGATTCTCTCTTCTACCTCTTTGCTCACCCAAAAATCCTCCCCCAACAAAAGGACTCAAGTCACTGAGAAGTGTTCATGCACAGCTCCGCGTCTTTCGACTTGACCCAGCTCTGCCAAGGAGGCGGATTTTTTTCGCTCAGTGGCAATCGATGAAGGACAGCTTCCTGGGACGTTCCTCGCCCATCCTCGAGAAATGCGCGACCGGCGCACGACGTCCGAGACCTAAAAAAGAGAAAGCAAAGAGGAATCGGACGTCGTGATTGCCTTCCAATGACTTGAAACACCCCAAGAGAGCGCAACTCCTCCATCGGCGCGGAATGGGAACCAAGGAATCCGTTGGAACTTCACATCGTTCCGGCAAACGTGACATGGTACTCTCCACAAAGGTTGTCTCGACGGTACCTCTGAGAACTTCAAGAACCGGTATCACGACCGCCACGAAGTGACAGACACACTTCTTCACGAAGTGAGCCGGAAAAGCTTAGGTCATCGAATCGCTGAGCAATGCCGAGTCGGTATCCCTCCAGTTCGAACCATTGGGCCAACGTGGATGGAGAAGGCCTGAAGGGAAGACCATGAAATCCGAATACCAAACAGGTGGTGCCATCACTTGCATGATGATTCCAGGAAGTGTACCATTGTTGCAGGCACAGTCAATCCTTCCGAAACACTGATCCAAACGACTGTGTCAGAGGTAAAGCTTCGTGTACCATGTTTCGAAGCAAAAATGAAAAAATGAATGAACCCTAGAGAACTACATAGACACAATGCACATGATTCATGAGCTAAACAAGTACCCATCAGGAGGGCGGGAACCTCGATCACAGGTCCATATGCACTGCCTTGACATCGACTCCAACTTGATACCTAACTGCCCCCCTCCAAAGCTCAAAATTCTTAGAGGGCACCTGTCGATCACCCCTGGATTCAGGTCCTCAATCGCCCTCTATCTGGGACCAACTGGACCGTTGAGGCCTCCTGCAACCCTCCTCCGGCCCCGCTCCTGGCTGAGTTCCCACTGAGAAGCGCTTCCCTAGGCCCTGCTGCTTCTCTGTTGGCAGTTCTCCTATGATAGGACCCAGCGTCCCGGCACCATGAGCCCGCACGAAGACGTGCAAGAGGCCCAACAGGCCGAAGTTGCTCCTCTGAGATGGTTCAACTCACCTTGTCAGCTAAACATGTTTCTGTTCACAAACCAAAATTTGGTCTGTTTGGTTCGTACCTTACCAGATGGGCTGCCGATTCATGTTCCATGACATGGTCCATTCATCGTTGGCCCACCGGTAACCGCTCACCTCTACAAAATCAAGCCTCTCGTATGGCATTGGCAAACGTGCTTCTTTGAGCCAATTGCTTGGGAACCATCCAGAACACATGTCATTTTAAAAAAATATATATGCATCAAACCATGTATAAAAACGATATGCATTTGCAAGTCTGCTTTCACTGAGAAACTAGCAACGAAAAAAACCTGTAACAATGCTCCTTGAACACCAAAGCACTGCCACCTCAACAAGCGAAATTGAAGACTTAAAATGTGCAAAAATGACAGAATCTCTGGTATCAGGTCACCAATAGTAATTGAAACAAATCTGTGGTTTGATCTCACGAACATGTTCACAACCATATACTGACATTGGCACGTGTTTGTTGTGTTTGTCATGTGTTTTTAAGACTGAAACGTACCCCCACAAAGCATGCCATACGTTGATCTTAAAGTTGATCTTTCGAAAGTCGTTTCCAACACCATTGATTTCAGAGTCTTCACAAGGCTCGCAGTTTAGGTTTTTAAGGATCAAACAGAGTATGGTGCTCGCGAATGGTTGCGCCCTGAAAAACCTACTACCTTAAGTAAGTAGCTTACAAACGTTCTAAACACAAAGCGAAAGCACGTGCAACAGCTCACAAGCAACGAAATAGCACTCGCACCACTTTTACGCGCACTCTCTGGGCCTTGAGCCAAAGTAAAGTACAAAAGGCTATGAGGTATTCCTGCATACAAGCGAGACACTGAAAGTGTCGAGCTTAAACGCACTCAAACATGCACAAAACTGTTCAAGAAACATTCACACTACAAAAGCTACAAAGACTTCTGTTCACAAAGCTTCTAAACATTGTACATTCCATGAGCTATGCTCTCCCAAGCTCTCCAAACGCTTCGAAACACAAAGTTCCGGTAAGGAACACTTGCTCAAGCACTCGAAATGCAAAACTATGCACTCCAAAAGTACAAACCGAACCTCACAGCTACTGCATTAGCCCGCACCTCGCTACCTCACACACTTTCACACCCCCTTTCGAGGTGAGGCTCATTCACTCTGAGCTAGTGGTGACCTGAGTAGAGGCGGTGGCTTCAGTCCTCTCAGCTTTCCAGCACTCTTTGGAAACGATCTTTTTGCATGCCTTGCAAAGTTGAAGGTGACATAGTCCCTTCCCTTGAGTATAATGGCATAACGGGCTGCAATGGACTACAGTTCCCGTGCGGCAGATGTGTAACCACTCCTTCCAGAAAGTTGGTGGAATCAAAACTTCCACTGGGCCCAAAGTAGTCTCCACTCCTCAAGATACAGACATCTTGGCATTCACTTCCTCATCTCTATGGCTATGACGTTCCTTCCCATTGATCGTCACATTCACGCCACGAGACTTGCAGAAAGTTTGACTCAGCACAAATCCAGTAAAGATCCCCCATGCTCGAAATCACTGCCAAAAGAATCTCAAATTCACAACCACCCAGCATACTCAATCCTGCTTCCATGGCCATCACGCGTCCCAAATGGCTGCGGATACAAGCAGTCAGCTAGCACAGCAAGCACAGCAAGCTTGAGCCACACACAAAACAGAATAGAATAGAAATTGCACTCACTCAGAGTCTCCAGACCTCCATGGCTTTGCCAATAAGACCTTCTGATCTCCGATTCCAATCCTCTCTTCAAGAGACATTCGACCGAACTCGACAACCTCAGACTCATTATAAAATCTATCCGATTCCTCCGACATTCGACATTCGACGCTCTTCTCAAAGAAAACCTCGAAAACCTAGACAAAAGATCTCTTTTTGCGACGTCCTTTCGACTTGATCGAAGCTGTGCTGCAAAAGAGAAAACACCCATCATGGTGTAAGATCCATCTCGGACCTTTCTCAGACACGGCAGCATCCGCTCATGCATGTCCAGCCTCATTCCTTAGAAACCGAACGAAGTATCGAGCGAACACACGGGTGCATCGTTCCGTCTCTGTCCAATTGACATTGTTGAAAGCTGCGCGCTCGACAATGCACTGACACTTAAACCTTTCCGCTAACCTGTTTGCAACCTCCTTTCTGTTCGACATAAAGCCTGAACCTCTTTCCAACTGGTTGTTGACCTTTGGTAAACATCTTCATTGAACATCCGTTCACGATACCTTCAAACTCTAGATGCTGGTTCGACAAGACCTTTCTCAAGACTTCTGACTTCCAGTACTGGTTGTTCGCTGGTAGCTCTAAGCTCTTAGATACCTGTCCATGAACCTCTTGAACCTTCTTCAAAAGACAATCGACAGAGTTGGCTAGTTCCTCAAAGACCTCAACATGCCTCTGCCTAGACTGTTGATGGAAATTCAAAACCGGACTTCCTCCAGCGCATGGCAAAGAAACATGAACATGGATCCACTTAGTTCCACACTTGCCAAGCTCAGATCGATGGTGGTCCTTTGGCTGGTTCCTGCGGCTCTGACAGCAAGAATCACTTGTTGACAGAATCTCTACTTGAACTGCCGCTTCCTGTAGACAATCGTGACATCCAATGTAAGATACGCCTACCTCCATACAAGCCTGCCTCAGACATGAGTCTCGACCACAACAAAGTTTGACAAAGACAATACCTCTACCGTGTATATATTGGCCTGGCTCCCGACGAGTTCTCAGAGATGAGAGAAAACTCATGTACCGATTGTTGATCATCGGTGTGACATTGCCCGCTCCAAGACAAGTTAGACAGACCTGGGTCTCAGTCGATGCTGCTGGCAGCGTAGGAGCTGGCGGTACGTTTGCCAAAAGCGGCTGAAAAGGAGCTGCCGGCGTCGTCGGAGTCTCAGGAGGCGGTGGCGGCGGCGGCAATCCGACTGTCTGCAATGGATGCATGTTCAGATCTCGACCTGGTACAGCACGCCGTACTGGTCTCGGCGGGGGCGCCATGGGCAGATCTTTGGAGTCCTTCTTGTCCTCCTTCTTCTTGAGATCCTCCTTCTTCTTGGAATCCTCCTTCTTCTTGGGCTCCTCTGAGATGATCTCCGATTTGACGGATTTCATTTCCTCTTTAGCAAATCCCTCACGTTCATAAGGTCCAATGCCCACTTGTGAAGTGGTAGGTGGTTGGTACTCCTGGCGCAATCGCGGCAACAAAGTGACCACTGGTCGAGTAGGTTCTGGCTGAGGCACGCTGCCTGCTGGAACCTTCCTCTTCTTTGCAGCTGGCCTGGCCTTTGCCTGAGTACCCTTGCGCTTGCGCCAGATGGAAGCATCAGCTTCATCTGGCTTGGTTGGCTTCTTCGGCATCCTCTTGACGGGAGTGGGGGTTTGTGTACCCCAATCCCATCCTCGGGTCACCTTGCGAACGTGCTTTGCTCGCAATCGATGCTTCTTTCCTCCCCTTGCCCTGAAGCGTAGCACTGTAGGATATTGTCTTTCCATCGTGAAGAGCAGGAATTGTACGAGCTACCGATCCTTTGACATTTTTCAAAGCCATAACCTCGATTGCCCTGCTGGCGCCAATCATCTTCGGCCTCGAAGGCATCAGCTTTGCTGCAGGCTTTGACCCCGGCGCAGACTGAGGCGGCGATGCTTTACCCTTGGTCCGACCCGGGCGTGGTGCTCCCGTCTTTGGCGTGGTACTCTTTTCGGCCTCACGCTGGTGAGCCATCTTGATGTCTTCTTTGGATGGAATTGCTCGGAACTCTTCGGAGTAGGTCACGACCCTGCTCGACGACTTTGCTTCTTGCAGACGTCTGTGTTCGTTGTCTGCCTTAGACAGCTCGGATATGACACCCTGCAATTGCCTGTTCAGCTCTGCAACGTCTTCTCTCTTGTTCGCAAGCTGGGACTTCACATCAAACAACGCTTCTTCAACTTTCGGCTCTTTTTCCACAAGACCCTGAAGCCGTTCCTGCCTCGAGACCAAATAATGCATGTGTTCTTCTGCGCGAG